TATATATATATATATATATATATATATATATATATATATTTCTTCTTATTCATTAACTGCCTACCCGTTTTTCTTCTCATAAAAATCAATTAACTATTATGCAAATTAACTACTATTAATCTATATCCTATTTATTTTGATTACATTTAAAAATCATATTTTTATTTTAATTAAATTGACTAATATTAAAAGGATAAAATATATCATAATTAAATCAATTCACTTTTATATATTAAATATATGATCTCTGAATATCATGTAGAGAATAAAGTAAATTTATATCTATCCTTTAATTATTCAACTAATTAAATTAATTTATATGTGAATATTCTAAAATTTAAAATACAAAAATCTTAACAAAATATTTCCATTCAAAAATAAATAACATGCAGACCTATATTATCCCACTAGAGAAACGGACAGATCCTCCGAAAGCGTTGAGCCAGGAAAACTCAAGTCCGTTATGGATACCCTGTTGGAAGAAGAACCACCTTTTGTAGCCACCACTTTGGTGGGCTTGGGAGAAGGTGACACAGACTCATCACCCTTGAAACAACTCGAGAAGATCGATCCCCATGCGATTTTCATGACACTTATCCTTGTGAATTAGCCACAATCTAATGACTCCTATGCTACAAAATAATGTTTCTTAAGCTAGGAAGAGAGATATAGATATACGTTTGAGGAAGGCTTGGAAGTAGATGGGAGTATATATATTAGGTGGGAACTAAGAAGAGAGATGGTGTGGTTTGCAGCTTCTTTTCTAGGCGTGTTGATTTTCCTCTGCTATCTTTTTGATTAGTCTTATAATGTATTGTCTTGGTTCTTTAATAATACTATATGGAATTTTTATACTTTGTTGAGATATATATAGAGAGAAAGGTGGTTGCGGTTTGGCGAGGGTGAAAAGCCCAAACATTTGAACGAGTTTAATTATTTTATTTGATAAATGGGAACCGAGTATCCCAAGTCTACGTTGGGTTAAAGGAAAATGACGCGGCTACCCCTCTTGACTTTCCAGCATTTGATGGTGATAAATTTTGAAAAGTAACTTTGAGGCATCTTCCAGAATGAAACGTCTTTTCGTTTTTCATCACCCGACACATCCCAGAAATAATTTCAGAACCACTAAAGTACTTTTGATTTAAGTTTTTATAGAAAAATTAAAAATACATCAATTGCATTTTAATTTCTTAATCTTTATACAAAACTTTTTAGATAGCAATTGCTAATTATCTTCAAACAAATGTAGATTGTAGTGTATTGCATCCTCTGCCACTTCCTTCTATTATTTTCTTCTCTTTCTTTTCTAGATTTAATTTTTGTTGACTTTTTCTCTTTATTTAAGGCAAGTTTTTGTTTGTTCACGTGCTATCTGGCTAAAACTTCAAAATGCAAACGAAACACATACATACAAAATAACAAGGAAATAAACTACATGCCCCAGTTGTTTAAGTATATATACAGAAAAAGGGGGTATTTATGTGCATTCCTAGTGATTAGTCAGAAAGCAATTCGAAAGAACACTGTGTGAATACATCGTTTGTTTCTTTTGTGTGTTGTCAGCGTTGATACTTCAGAATCTAGATTGATGAAAACAGAAAACTGTGTTGAATGTTGATGTCCTTGCAGCATTATAAGTACTTTAGTTAGCTTCTACACGGTGAATGTCAAATATTAAATAAATGGCAAAAGAATATTTAAACCAAACATACAAACAAAAAACAGCATCTAGATGAATTGGAGCGAAATTAATTATTTTTAACTTGATCAATAGTTTTTGTTGGTAATTACTTGTAATTATACTCTTACTGAGATGATAAATATCCTATCTATTAGGGGTAATTTTTATGATAATTAAAACTTTTTCTACACATTCATTTATTCATTCAGTGCAATAGTCTGACCACGTCAGTAGCGTGATTGCGTTAGCGTGGAAATCAAATTTATGGAATGAAGACATGAGATTAAAATTAAGTGAAATTAACTCATATATATATATATATATATATAGAGGGAGCATATCAAGTGAGAGAAATTTATTATGAGAGGGTGAGAGGGTTAAAATATAACCTTTAGATTAATTTTCTTTCACTTGATTAAATCCCAAATTTTCTCTCACTTGATTAATTTAAGGGTTATATTTTAACCATAAATTCCTCTCACTTGATATGCTCTCTCTATATATATATATAGTAGATGAATTGGAGCGAAATTAATTATTTTTAACTTGATCAATAGTTTTTGTTGGTAATTACTTGTAATTATACTCTTACTGAGATGATAAATATCCTATCTATTAGGGGTAATTTTTATGATAATTAAAACTTTTTCTACACATTCATTTATTCATTCAGTGCAATAGTCTGACCACGTCAGTAGCGTGATTGCGTTAGCGTGGAAATCAAATTTATGGAATGAAGACATGAGATTAAAATTAAGTGAAATTAACTCATATATATATATATATATATATAGAGGGAGCATATCAAGTGAGAGAAATTTATTATGAGAGGGTGAGAGGGTTAAAATATAACCTTTAGATTAATTTTCTTTCACTTGATTAAATCCCAAATTTTCTCTCACTTGATTAATTTAAGGGTTATATTTTAACCATAAATTCCTCTCACTTGATATGCTCTCTCTATATATATATATAGGGAGCATATCAAGTAAGAGGGAATTTATTATGAGAGATGAGAGGGTTAAAATATAAGCCTTAGATTAATTTTCTCTCACTTGATTAAACTCCAATTTTCCTCTCACTTGATTAATCTAAGAGTTATATTTTAACCCTCTCACCTCTCATAATAAATTCCTTCTCACTTGATATGTTCCCTATATATATATATATATAATATAGATTTTTGACTAAAAATATAAAATAAAAAAAACATAAATTTTATTTTGTTTTATTTAATAGATATTTTAAATTAATTCTGAATTTCGATA